CACTAACATCATCTCACACAATATGAGTGTGAGGTATTTCAGGCTAGACATGTTAATATTTTATTAGGCTTGTCATGTTTATTACATAATCGCCTGATTGCAATGATTTGAGGTGATTGAAACAGTTTTTCACAGTTGTTATCTTTCACAAACACATGTAGCAGCAAACAGAATGTGCACTTGATGTGCAGTTATCAGTTGGGCTGATGCGAATATATGTAAATAAAAAAAAGCAAGAAACACACATTGAGTGTGTTTACATGCATTTAATAATCAGATCAATCTGATTTCTGCAGTCATCTGATTATTCAAGTGGTCATGTATACAACATACTCCAATTTGTTAGATTGGATCAAGGCCTAGAAATCTGATTAAGAAATCTGATAAAGAGAGCTGAATTTTAGCTCAGTAATTGGGTTTTCATTGCATGTATACCCTTACTCTGATTTCTTTCAGTTTATTCAGTCTGCGATGTTCGAAAACAGCGAGCAGTGTTAAACACATCAACAAAATGTGTTTGGAGCAGATTTGGAAAAAACAAAAATCAGCGACATGAAGTTTGAGTTTTACAATCACATCATGTCTCCTTCTGAGTTTATTGGCTGGTTGCAAAGCAGAAGTCCGATTACTGCCCGACTCATGTAGACCTGGAGTTTTACCCATTATCTTATAATGTGAGCGTATGTAAATACATTGAACAGATTACTGGCAAAATCTGATTTTCTGCACTTATTGATTATTGTCAAAAAAATAATATTATTGATTTATTTATTCTAATTTTCTACCTAATTTAGTCGTTAGGACTCCTCCGGTCACATGATACCTCCAGCTCTAGTAGGGCAAAGGCAACACAAGCTTCGTCCGAGACCAGCTAACTGACGCCAGCGTCAGGTGGTGGGGGAGAGTAGGAGGGCCATCCTGATGATGGGGCCAATGCTTAGACAGTTGCGTCACTCAGGAGCCCCATCAGAATACTAAGTGCTTGTAAACACACTCATTGAGACACATCAAAACAAGTCATAAGGTCAGGTTTGGTGTCTTGTGAACTTGTTGTTTGTTTACTTGAACTCGAGCTGTTTCCGTCGTCAGCTTTGAGCTGCTAAGTATGAGAGCTAGGAAGCAAGATGGCTCATTATCCAGTTTGGTTTTGTTAGGCTTGTACTTAACTGGCCACATCGAATAAACCAGAAAAGACAATTAAATTGTAAATCGCAATTATGTATGTCAGTTAATCGCCAGCTACAACTTCATGATTGTGACAGGCTTATTTGTTATAGGATTGGATCAGATCCGTTCTTCTTGCCCTCCGGTATCCGATCTAGCTTTTTCTGGCCCAATACTAATACCTGGTATGAGATTGCGGCCATCTCTTGTTGTGTTGGGTTCTGTCGTTGTGCCCCGACACTCTCTCTCTCTTTTTCTCTCTCTCTTTCTAGCAGACTGCATACCACAGGTGATATATGTTAATTTGCCATTCCAAACATTTGCTTTCCATCTGTGCAGAGGCATAAGCATATTTGGATCATCTGGTGTGTCTGTCTCATCTTGGCTCAGAGTGCTGCTATCTGCAAAGCTCCTCAAATGCTGCACACTCATTTCCAACACGCTGAGAAGAAAATCAGCCATCAGTTTACAGAGAAGTTGGTGTAAGCCAGTGCTGTGTAGGCCTGGGTTTGTACCTTTTATCTTCTCTCTCTCTATCTCCATTCTCCCTCCCTCCATCCTTTTTTAGTGAAGGCCTAATGGAGGCCCCCAGTTCCAGCCTTTGATAAATAATGTACGTTCTTTATAATGCGGAGTCCCTCGGGACGGCCTAGAGAGCATCATTACTGCCTCCTAAATTGATTAACGGCACTGAAGCAGCGCAAAATGATACATGGAGATGATGCGGGGGGTCAGGCTTGTCAGAAGCGTGTGATGGGTGCCACATTAGCTCAGGCTTCCGTGCAACACACAAGCCGCTGCTGATATTTACATCCACTCAGGCCTGGAGAGCCGAGACCGAGCAAGGAGATTATTGGGCTTTTATGGGATCCCTGCACTGGAGATGGAGCATCCACAACCGCCATTTCAGTTGATTTGTGCAGTTCTTCAACTGAGTGTTTGTATTCAGTGCTCTGTGGTTGATGTATCATTCTGCATCATTTTCGTCTAGCCAGGGGTTTCATTTTTATATGTGTCTTCTTTTGTAATTCCACCTCACCGCTGTTTAAATGATTGATGGCTCTGAAGGAGGCCATGTTGTTCACATTATTGCCAAGTGGAGAGTAATTTTTGCTGGTAGGTAACCAAGCTGTGTATGCTTTGGTTCTTTATTCTTTAAGTATTTCATGAAAGTCGGTGAGAATTGCAGTCATAGAGAGCAAATGCATATCCTGGTGGTCAACCACGGGCAAAATTATCTGTTCACTGAGAGCAGAAATAAAGCATGAAAAATCTGGAAAAAAAGGAGTTTTACCTAAAGGTAACAGGCTAAGAATAGACCTGGAATGTGACCTTGAGGAGACGTGAAGGCTCAGTGTGGTTTGAACGTTGGGGAAATGCTGTGGCAGCTATGTAGGATACTCCCTAGTCCTGCATGGCCACCCATGTGGTCAGTAGCAAGTCTTATGATACTTTAAATGAAATGTACTTATAATATCTTAATGTTTTTTTTCTTTCTTTCTGATGCATCATTTCTTCTTTTAATTACATCCATGGCTTGATTTGAGGGGAGATAGCAAAGGATGCCACCCCCTTGGTCAAAAACATTACAAAAATCACCCCCTTTGGAAAACTGCCGCTCCCCTTCTTTCCATCTGTGCTTTTAATGTCATTCTGTGAATTCTTATAAATGTCAGAAGTCTAATGTCTGTAGAATTTGAAAAAGCTTATAAAACTTTTGTATTAATGAAAGGGGATTCTAATTAGAGTTTGACTGATGTACTGGTTGGCTGATAATTTGGACTTTTAAAAAAAATAAATATTGGCAGAAATATCCATACTGTGCTGATAATTATTGACATGTTTGTGAATCTAAGAGATGCCACAGTTTAACTACATTACAACGAATAATGTGATGAATAATGAACTGACAAATCTTTAAATAAAATAATATATATAATAATAATAAAAAAATATATATCAGATGTATCCACAGCATGAGAATAACATGTTAGCAAATAATATGTAATGAAAAAAATGAATTCTGGGTAGCTCCGTCCTCAGTGCTACATCATTTATATTATTTAATGCTGCTTTCAAGTGCAAAATACCAATTTTCTCACTTGTACATTACACTCAAATAGTTGTTGAAGTGGTATTTGTAGATGGGAAACACCAGATAATACACAAGTTTACCAGATGTGACGTATAACTTGACCTTTGCTGCCGTGAAAAATGGGACACATGGTGGTTAATGTGGAAAATATATCTGGTATGCTTCTATATGTTTTAATAAGGCAATGAAGAAGCAGGATACATGTTCTCCAGATCTCCTTACTTTCTTTGTTTGTATGGTGGGAGTATTTTTAAGCAAGCCTAAATGGAGTGAAGTCATATTTGCTAGGTAACCGTCTGGTATATGCAACCTTCTGACGAGAACCAGAATGCACTGTACGACTGTGAGCTTCTGCTGTTTGTTTGAGCCTGAGAAACATGACCATGAAGTGAGACAGTCATATTTCACAATTCACAGTTGATCATTGATAATTATATCTGTCAGAGAAGCACAATTTAAAGTAAAACTCTTGAAGTATAAAATTAAAAATGAAAATATAAACATTAAACCATAAAATATATCTACTGATTTTATTTATCAGAGTTTTGCAACCCTAAAATTGGTGTTGGTGAAAAATATTGACGAGCCCTAATTTTAATCAGAGTATAAGATAACAGTTATATTACAGAAAGGATATTTTTTGCCAGCATCCACCATCTACCTTGAACGTTTTCTTTACCTTCTGATTCAACCACTGATTATGTCTAAACAGGAGTTCCCAGCTTGTGGTCAAGCTGCTCAGGTCAGTCTCCATAGACCTTCCCGAAATCAGCTTGTCCATCTCAGTGGGCTTGCTGCTTTTGTGCATTTCCCTGTGTTATGAGCTGTATAGAAGACGCCGTATATTTTGACTGGATCCCAGACAGCCCAAACTGGCATTGTCTGTCTTGTCAATACAGTGGTGTATTGACCTCTTGTGTAAGCATGTGGTTGCACCTGCAGTCAGATATTATGGATCCTCAGGTTTGGAGTGAAAAGGAGGTCGCGTCTGGACTAAACGTTTGTCATTATGCTGACACGTTTTGTCCTTGTCAGTTGTCCAGCCCAGATGTTTAAGTGTGCTCTTCCACTGAAATATGGCATGGAGTTGGATTGAAAGAGGCAGCTGGTCCTGGATATTTAGGCCTGTCAAAGCTATGTAGTTCAAGCTGAAAGACAATGCCTGGTGTCCGCAAAGGGTCCACATACCTCCCACTGCCCACCTGCTGTGGGAGTACCAGCCTGAAGCTGTGTTTGGGCTAGGCTTGGGTGTTTTCAGCATGTGCAATGTTTTTTTTTTTCCCCCAGGAGAACAGCTGGATGGCTGTTTGTCTGGGTTTGAAGTGGTTCTTGGTCCTTGACGGTGAAAGCGCAGACTGCTTCTTCTACATAAATGAGTGTCAGGCAGCTCTACAGCCATCCAGTAGGCACAGGTGTTAGAGAATTTTTCCACTCAGGCAAGTCTTAGTCACTGCCTTGATATCAGGAACTGTGTTACATTGCAATAATAACTTTGCAAACAGAACTTTGCTGAGGGTGCAACTTATTAACTTACCGTTTCTCTTTATTTTGGCTGTTCGCAGAGATGGATCTGATGCCGTTTCACTGTGGAATGTGGAATCTTCCAAGCACCACTGTTGTGAAGTGCCGTTGCAAAACGTGATTGACGGTGCTAAAGTCCTGCTTCGTATTTGGCACTACTCGGTTATATTTGTCTCCCTGACTAGACAGGAGAGACTGTTTGACTCGGCAAGGTAATGCTGGCAGCACAGGTACTAGAGAAATATTTGAGTCTTTCTTTTCTCTGCCACATTACTTGCCTGTGGTCACTCTCAAAAAAAGCTGTTGGTCTTTTATTTAATGAAATGGCTTTCTTTAGTTGGCTTACGCAGGGCCGTAACTAGGATCAAAATTTCAGTCAGTTTTGTAGAAGTGTGACCTACATCTCATAGTGAATAAAATAAGTGCAGAAGATGAGTGTTATCTATCTATTTGCTGTTTATGTATTTAATAATTTGTTTATTAATATTTGCATGCATGATCAGTGATATAGTTTAATCAATGCTGATGAATGTGGTCTTAATGAGAGAAAACCTGTAAATGGTAGATATGAAAGACCAGTAAGTTTTGTAAGGCTTCTTCTGTAGCATCTATGCTCTGCTGTGTTTGCTACACATTCACCATGGCAGACATTCGGATGTATGACCAGTTCTTTCAGAATTAAAGTTCAATGTGTGGCCAGACTTTGGCTTAATCAAAAAAACATGGTTTAATACTGCAATTTTTTTCAGAATTGTGAGCATGAAATTTTTTTTATATTCTGGTGCAGTATGATGTACAGAATAAGGACACATTTATCTTCAAATGTTGATAGTTTTATTATTTTAAACCAGAGATATTTTACAGTAACACATTCTCTTTTTTGATGTCTGTAAAACTTAGAATAGGTGTGAAAAGGGCTTTGTCAGGCCTCTGGTGCAAATGGAAACAGGCCTGGATATACTGAAATCTATGAGGCCTGGGGCAATAAGCAAATCTATTGATAAATATGGATACTTTAATTATGTAAAACCTTGAATATTTTGCAGTAATATTCAGTATATCAAGGACAGTTTCCATTTGTGCCAGACGTGTTTTACAAACAGAAAAGCGTGTCAAAACAAAAAGCAAATTTGAAAAAATGTGCACGTTAAAGTTGTCTTTCACTCCAGCGCTCGTTGTTGCTCATGGTTTGTTCGTTTTAAGTTGGTGCATTGGAACTTTTTATAGGAGAAGGAGCTGTGTCTTAGAATTGCACTGGCTAAAAGAAAATTGATTGAAACGTTAAACTAACTTTGAGAATGAAAAATAATGTTTATACCAGGTATATTTTTTTTTCTCTATGTATCAGTGCCAGTGTGAGTCACTCACAAAACAGCTCAAAACTAACGTATACAACATGAAAAGAAATAAACAGTAAATTCTACCTTTCAGTTTTGTGGCCATTACCAATTATTGTTGATGAATATTCAGTGTCAGGGATACACAGATGTTTTTTTTTGATTACTTTTACAGCCAAATTGACCGATGGCTATGTTTGGGACTTTTTTTTGTTGCTGAAAATAAGAATTAACTGGTTGTTTTTGTTTAGCAGTGTTCAAATACAGTATGAGTGCGCTTACCTCACTTATTAAATAAAAATACAATACAAAATCGATCAAGAAAATTGATGCTTTTGTGTTTGCCACAAAAATTTTACGATTCCAATCTCAGTCAAATCTGACTGAACAGCTCTGTTTTAATATCAGTTTATCACAGGCAACAACCAGCCCTTCTGTATATGACCTTCTATTTCTCTTAAAGTCTAGACTTGAAATTGTCATATCCGACCTGTTTTTTTCCGCTCCAGTTCGAACCACATCACAGTTCTTTGAACATGAGGTTTGTGTTGTACTGGAGCCCACAGATCTGAATCAGAAGAAAAGGAAAAACTAGCCTGGTCTGCTTAACATAACAGTATTAGTCACACACATTCTTACCATCAGCTCCACTTCAGATCGTACTTGGAGATCATTTTGAGACTCTTGTTATCTAAGCTAAAATTTAACGCCTTCTCATTATCCTGTGTGACATCATTTGACATTTGATAACACTTGGTATGCTGCAGAACTTCTTTTCACCTTTCAGGCATTGCCAAGCTTAGTAAACCAGGGAGCTTTTTTAGAAGCTGTGGGCGGAACCTGTTTCAGTCAAGAGGAAAGATACACATCACGTACTGTAGAAAGGATATTGAACAGTACTGTGTGGGGCCATACTTAAGGAGTACAAATGAATGTCATTAAAATGGAGTAATATTCTAAACTGCAAGTCATGGATCTCATAATTAAATGAATTTGTATTCATTTTATCATTTATAATTATCAGTCAGCAAGAGGAAAACTGGACCACTTAGAATGTCATCTGTGCTCAAAACAAAGTCTGTGTTTCTCTCTGCCTTTTCTCATCTGTTTCTTGATTTGATAGAATCACCATGTGCTGTAATGTTTGATGTAACAGGAAAGTCAGAGAATTTGAGTTTCTTCCAACCAGGAGCACAAATGTCAAGCAGACTCTCTACCATAATGTGCTGAGTATAGGAAAGAAATAGAAAGTCAGTGGTAAGTCCCTGTTCTGAGTGCTGTACAATAAAGTGAATGCGGGTTGTCTGATCCCTCCGTCTGATTAAACTGAACTCCATAGTTGCATGAGCGCTTCTCTGTTCGCTACCCGTATGAGGTGAACCATTCCCTTTGTTGCTGTCGGTGAGGGATGTGCTTCCCTCCTCCCTGACAACAGCACAAGTTCCCGGGCTTTTAAATTAGCAGTTGGCAGCGCCGCGCCTCTAAATATAGGAGGAACTTTTTAGCTTTCCTGTCGCGGTGCTTCACGACAGCAGTGGGTGTAAACAGCACCTGTTTTCATTGAAGGGCTCACAGTCATGCGTCCGTGGCCTGCAAGAGGAAAACGGGCTGGCTGACGTTTTCTGCTGACGCCTTGGAAGGACAGTATCTTTAGGGGTAGGAAATATGGCAAAAATATAGTATGATGCTTGAAGACATTTTCATGATACATATCAAATTGTTTAGTTTTTAGGTTTGAAGTTAGAACAGACAAAAAAGCAGCAGTAGTGCCTGTCAAAAAATATATGATTTAATTTAAGCTTTCACATAATGCACTGTGTTTTATCACATTAAACAGGACTAATTATGGTCTTTTTAATGATACATGGTCAGTGTTAAAGGTGAATTCCACTGATTTTTTGCATAATTCAGTGGTTGTGCTATAAACAGCCATTCGGAGTGGTTTGATGTGAAATGGTTCGTTGTTGAGATACTTGTCAACTCAGATTTCTTTAAAGTGGGGGTGATAGGCACCAGGGGTTGTGATGTCTACAACACAAATATAGGCATTTTATTAACTATCCAAAACCACCCGTGAACCTACATGTGTCTTCTGAGTTTATATATGTAATGTGGATGATGGTAAAATAGTGGCAAGTCTGAAAAAACAAGTTTTCTCTGAAGACCATTTTGCCTTGCATGTACCACTATACCATTAAAAAGCATATTTCAGTCCAAAACCAGACATTAAGCAACACGTTCATAACCATTCAGTGTAATAAGCTTCTGTGAGGTAGCTTTTAGGTATTAAAGTGTTCAGGTGTCTGGTTCCAATCACCACCGCTTTGAACAATTTTGATTCAGCAAATTTTCCTAGAGCAGAGCATTTCAGAGCACATCACATCAAACCGCTCTGAATGGCTTTGTTAACATACTAAATGTTTAATTATGCAGAAATTTTGAAAACTCGGAAAACACTGGCGATATTCATGATATCAGAAAAGCACATTGACATAATTTATCACAATATTGTCTGCCTCTTATTGTCATGGTCTGCATTACATTTTTGCTGTAACACCAAATCAAGGCTTGAATTAGACTAGAGTTTTCTTTAATAGAGAAAAAAAAAGAATTCATGAAAGTAAGGCCTTGTTTTTGAGCCTTATTGCCCATGTTTTAATGCTGTAATGCTCAGCAGGCCATAGCCTATATCTCTCAAACTATTCCCTTAGTAATAGCCAAGGACAGTGAGACACACACACACACATACACCCTGAGCACAATGTTATTCTTAGCACTTTGAATAGTGGAAATAACTGATCCCTGATGTAGCTTGACTTATGCAATGCTGATAGATCTCCACATAGTCTGTGCAATACGCTTGCTTACCTGTTTTGAGCAGAACTTTTTGACTCTGGAAAGAAGAGTGATTTTTCAGCTGGATGCTGATAAAAAGTAAAAACATTAAAAGGCTTCATTGTCATTCTGAGTCTGGGTTTTGTGAGGCAACCAGGAGCTGGAGTTCCCTTAAACCTGTGAATATGTATTCCCATTCTGCTGTTTATTTTGCTGTTTTCAGTTTTAAAGCTGTGCCAGAAAGGTGGCATGATGGCAAACTGAAAGTAAAACTGTATGTGTGTGCGTGTGTATATGCACATACTGTGTGGGTATGTATGTTTGTGTATGTATATATATTTTGTATATATTATACTTTGTGTACATGTAATTTGACTGGGGCGTCCAAACTTCAATATATATAGCCCTCTTTATGCACACTTGCATAACCAGTGTTTATTGATGTGTCTTGGGCTGCTTGATGGCGTTAACTTTTAACAAAAGCTCTATCTATTCTGTCTGTCTTTTTTAATTTCCTGTGCTCTTTATTATAATTATCTCAGTTTTGTACTTCTTCCTTCTTGGCTTCTTTTGGGCTTTCAGTAACTGCAAAAGAAGCTTATACTCCATTATGTGCTCCCCCACGCCCTCTCTCTCTCTCTCTCTCTCTCTCTCTCTCGCTCTCTCTCTGTCGTTCCCTCTTTCTATCATGCCGTCCCTGAACAGTATGTTCTCCTGATGCCCGGTGCTGAATGACTGTCTTGGGATCTCCCTGAATGGCCACTTTCATCCTCATCCAACCTGCATTTCCTCTCAGATTGTCAAGGATGTCGGAGGGCAGACGCTCTTAAATGTGTTAGACGCTTTCCTTTTTTTTTCCCTCTTGTTTGATCAAATAGGTCTTGTATGCTCTGTCAGCTGGCTCTGCTGCAGACTCTACTACCCAAGCTATACGCCATTTCAAAATGCATGTTCCAGTTCCAATGGGCAGAGTTTACAGTTTGTTCATCATTATTACAATATGCAAATAAGCCCACTAGACAGTCAGTGTTTTTTGCTGTTTGCCATGAGTATCTTGAGCAATCATAGCTTCATACAAGCGTTTCTGTGGGTGTTTTTGATCAGTGTTTATGTAATTAGGCAAAAGTTATTGTTTTGCAAATGGAAAAATTTAAATGATTGTGGTAAAAATTACGCAGGCCAGCCTTTAACATGTCATATTATTGATTTACCAGTGTTTTTGGGATGCTTTGCCACTCTGCGTGTGTTGTCTGTGTGAAATCTCTGATTTATATATGATATGTCATCTGCACAGAGAACAGCACAGCAACCTGCAGCTTAAAATCCCTACCGTTAAATGTACCTTTACTATAGCAGCTGCTTTCAAACTGTTTTATGCAATTGCAATACCAAAGCTACTGTTTCAGTACCATAGCTTTTTAGGCCCCTATGTACATCACAAACCGTCTGGTATTAAAATGTGCATATCCTACATGCTCTTGTATTTTGAAATACTCCTTATAACTTGAGTGGGCAGGGCTAACTGCTGTAAGCTAAATAGGCAGATATATATATATATATATATATATATATATGGATTGCTTTCCATAACATCACAAAAACTTCACAAAAACTTCAAATTCACAATAGGCTGTTTTTGCAGTTTAGCTTACATGTGCGGACTGGGAAGTGAATGGTATCTCTTGAAACAGTATTTACCTACTACACCAAACTCTTATTTAAAAAAAACTGAGGAAAATTTGGTTTACATGATATAGCCCCTTAATATTTATTTAATATTTATTATGGGCCTATATCATGTAAACCAAATTTTCCTCATTATTATATCATTATCATTTAATATTAATATTTTTTACTAGCAAATACTAGTATTTTGTCCATAGTATGCAGCCCTAGTTCCTGTAACTTTCACATATAGCTGGTAGTGACTGAAGGAGTTATTCAGAGCTGTTCAGCATTACTCACTGGTCATAATCCCACCAGATGATATCCGAGATTGCTGTTTGAATGCTCACACTGACCGGAAGCCATTTTGAGAACTCGATGTTCAGTGGATGAAATGGAAAGCCCTGTTATTGTTACTGTGATGACCGTGATTCCCAGAAGCTGTGAGGGCAGTGATGTCACTCCGTGGGCTTGCGAGGTCAAGGATGTGCTGCCAGCCACTCTTCCGGTTGTTGTGCTGTTAGTGTGGCATTGTATTGCGCATCTCTCGTGGGAGAGTCTTGCGCAGGAGTGTTCTAACGAGTGCTATATCTCTTTCTCTCTGCAGGTCGGCTAGACATCCGGCTCTGTCTCTGCACCCCCGCACTGGCTGTGACTGAACAGTAGAGACTGAGAGACACTGAGCGAGCGAGATTGAGCGAGACTGATCGAGATTCGTCTTGGTTGTGTGCGTGTCCAACTCCTCTTTGGGCCCGGGACAGTGTGTGTGTTTAGCTGCGGCGGTCTCTGGCCCCCGGAATGAATGTTACCTCGCTGTTCTCGTTCACCAGCCCGGCGGTGAAGCGCCTGCTGGGCTGGAAGCAGGGCGATGAGGAGGAGAAATGGGCCGAGAAGGCAGTCGATGCGCTGGTCAAGAAGCTGAAGAAGAAGAAAGGAGCAATGGAGGAGCTCGAGCGGGCGCTGAGTTGCCCTGGGCAGCCCAGCAGCTGCGTGACCATCCCGCGTTCGCTGGATGGCCGGCTGCAAGTGTCCCACCGCAAGGGCCTTCCTCACGTCATCTACTGCCGCGTGTGGCGCTGGCCAGACCTGCAGTCACACCACGAGCTCAAAGCCCTTGAGTGCTGCGAGTTCCCCTTCGGATCCAAGCAGAAGGACGTGTGCATCAACCCCTACCACTACAAGAGAGTGGACAGTCCAGGTGAGCAGCTATGATGAGTTCCATCAGCTCCAATGCTGGGTAACATTCATGCTGAAGAACAGAGCAGTGATTAGTCAAGATAGATGTTGATTATGGAAAATAATGCATCAACACATTGCGTATTCAAAAGCAGTCTGTCATGCTGTGTAATGGTCATATATGTAGCCATTCCGACAGTTTGCAGTGCACTACAGGAAGAGTAGGTGGCGATATGGCTACTGTTGTTTCATTGCACTTGCATTTTGCATGAAGGCAGTAGCAAAGGGAGAGAAAATGGCAGAAGGCGTATTTGGTTTGATTTGTCATTAACAACATAATTGTTAGTTGGAACCCTAGTTACATATTGTATGTTTGGGCACCCATCTTCTGCACATTTTAATGCACAATTATTGCTAATTTGCTGATTTTAATATACTGGGGACAAAAATTAAGCATACATTCTGGCCCGTGCAAAGGTTATGGTACATTTTAGATTTTATCTTTTATGTTTTTCCATTATGTTAAACTCTGCAAATAAGTAGAAATTGTGCACTAAAATTTGCGGAAAATATCATATTTAAGCTTATCGTCTGTACAGGATATGTTAACGTATTTCCACTATGGAAAAAAACATGCCATTAAACCAGGGGTATTCAGACTTTTGCGTATGACTGTATATTATATTTATTACTTTATGCATTAAAGCAGAAAACAAAAAAAACAAAAGTTATAATCCTTGTTCCTGAGTTCTCCTGCTCCTATATGGCACATTTTTGTATTTTCTCTCCTCGAACATGCTTGATATAATGAATTAGTTTATCAGAGAGCCCTTTCTGAGTTTAATAGGTGTGCTATAGCATTGAAAACAATAACACTAACCCACTGATGCAATTCAACTTACTAGTTAAATATCAGGTGGATATCAGTTATATCAGGTGTGGTAGAGGAAAGAACATGTGAAAAATGCTCTGAACGCTGTGACCCCAGGAGTAAAGTTGGCAGCCCCTGCAGGTGTTTGGTTAATATGACTTAAAATGACTAATATGGCTAATATGAACTGATTCATCTATCATGCCATGCATTGACATGCTCTGGTTAAGGATATTTGGCTGTAACCAAATAGGCCTGTTGTTCATCATGGAATTTGAAGGTATGCCTTGAACACTGAATTTTTTCTGATTTGCGCTCTTCATTTTAGATGTAAGATGAGAATTGTTTTGCTTTTTGTTCTGTTTTGATCAGAGTTTTCCCTGTTGTCTTATCATTTGCTTTGTTTTGTACCTTTGTGAATGCAAGAATACGTTGCTAAAAACTCAATAGTAAGGTCCTCGCTAAGCTTTTGTGGAAGATTTAGTCCATGTGTTGCCCTAACTAAGAGTGTATCACTGATTCCAGCAGCTTCAACAGCTGTCCTTTCTCTCTTTCCACCCACACATCTGTGCCAGGGGCCGGTTGCACCAGCTGTACGTATCTACAAATGTAGGCTAGTTAGAATGTAAGTATTTACTAAGTTCAGGTCTCTACATTACTAAATCAAAACAGGTTGCACCACACAAACTGGTTTTTACATTGAGCTTAGTGTCCAGTTAATATTTTTACTCTCTCCTAAGCAAGTATAAGTATCAGTGAAGCAAAAACCACATAGATAAGATCAAGTTACAAGTTTTTTGAAATAAAGGAATTTGAGTTGGTTAAGTTTCAGAATGTACAATTCATTTCCCATTCAGTGTAGTCCATATGTGGAGATTAAGCTGCGAAAGCACAAACAAAAAAAATGTTGAGATAGTGTTACGCAAACCTGGTGCAACACAGTATGGGTGCTTATCCTTAACTTTATTCTTGATACTGCAGCAGGGAAAACGTAGTTGCAGTGATCATCCCAGACTGTTTCTCTGCTGTATGAGTGGAGAGTGTGAGTGTGTGTTTGTGGGTTTCTGACAAACAAAAACCTGTTCCTTACGCAAGCTTAGGGGAAAAGAAGTGACTTCAAACGCGCAGCCCCCTTTTTTGTTGGCTAAGCAGAAGATGAGGGTCAGCTGACAAGACAGAAACAGCTGTCCACTGTGTGTGTGTGTGTGTGTGTGTGTGTGTGTGTGTGTGTGTGTGTGTGCGCGCACTGAGAGTGAGCAGGAGCAGGAAATTCCAGCTGGGGGGAGAATGAGGGCTTTGTTCTGTGTGTGTTGAGTGTGTGTGTGTGTGCGCTGTCCGTTGGCTGCAGCAGGCGAACATGTGGCCGTTCAGAGGAAGAGTGCAGCAGGAAGTCCCGTCACCCTCTCACACACAATGACAGGAAGGAGTGGTGGCCTGCCTAACACACTCTCCCTCACTCAAATACACTCTAACACACTCTCCTTCAGTGCAGGTCTGATGGAGCCTGCAGCACCTGTACTGCTCTTTCCATCTTCCTCACTGATATGAATTCTGCACAAATATGTTTTGTCTTTCACTTAACTTTCAAATGTCTGAATCTCTCAAACTGTATGGCAGCAGTGCTGAGAATGGTCCGCCACTTAAACAATATCTGTTCGGCAGTGATCCCTTTCCATTGACAGACAGGGGAGGGGTGAAGAGCGGCTGAAATATTGTGCAGTCAGTAATTTTAAAAAAAATAAATAAATAAATAAATTGTAAAAGTCAGAGACCACCCTTTTTTAATTTCTAGTCAAAATGGCCATTAAACACAAATTGTTCATTTTTCATTTTAACAGAATATTATACAGAAGCTGCAATAACTAAATGTAATACTGAAATTTTCAGCATTGTGTCCATCCTTTGCCTTTAATATAGCTTCCATACTTTTGGGAGACTTGCTTACAGTTTCTCAAAGAAACCTGCAGGGATATTTTTCACCTCCTAAGTTCAGTCTTAGAAGTTGGTCGCATTTTCTACTTCTGCAGCAGCTTAAGTAATCCCAAATACATACAGACAGGAAAGTTGTGGTCTGGACTGGATTCTGAAAACACCAGCAGCTCCTTTGCAAATTTTCTTCTTTTTTGTCTATTTGTCTATTAGTCAGTAATGGCTTCCTGACAGCTACACATCCTTTCAGACCCAATGTGTGAAGTTGTCTTCTCACAGTGGAAGGATGGACCGAAGCACCTATGGATTTTTTTAGATCTGAAGCAAGAGTGGAGCTTGATTTTTGATATCTCAAAGATGAAAGCTTTAAGTATTGTTTATGTGATAGAGACGGTTTTGGTGGTCTGTCTGGTCTTGCATGGTTGTTAGGAGTCTCATTTTCTCTGTATCTTTCTCTTTCTCTGTATAATTTTCTCTGTATAATCTCCAGTTTTGGAAACAGCTATTTTTTCATATATTTTTCTTTGACTTTCCCCATTCGTATGCAAGTTTATTATAATATATATAATTTCCTCAAAAATATCTCTTGAGAAATGTATAACTTGTACCTAATAGTTGTTTTGACTGGATATTAAATAAATGAAAGGAGGTCTCTAACCTTTGCACAATACTGTATATGGTAGATATAAAATTGACCAATAAATGAAATGAATGTAGGTACGAAAAAGGTGTACCTAATAGTTCACGTATCTGTATATACATATCAGACAGTGACAGTCTTTCCATTTTATATAGCTTGTATGGTTAAAAGGAAGCAGTGATAAATCCCCCTTAACCCTATGGGTACTCTATTCATAGAGTTTATTTTTTTTTTTGGCTTTCATTTTTAGGCAGTGGAGGGATTTTGCAATAAGTTTAAATGGACCACTGTCCAAGTGGTGCTAAGTGGTATTGGCCTCATGCAACCTAGCTTAAAATAAGTGAAATATTTCTTAAATTATTTAAGTTATTGTAAGTTAAGAATTCAAATCAATATTAACTTCAGTAGATCGATAGTTTTGAACTGAATCTGTCGTAGTTATTCTCCTCAGCTGATAATTATAAAAAGGTTTACAAATGTCTCTTGTATTTCCCACAGTTCTGCCACCAGTTCTGGTGCCTCGGAACAGTGAATTTAATGCCAAGCTGTCCATGCTGCCGCGTTTCCGTAACCCGTTGCATCAGACGGAGCCGCATATGCCCCAGAACGCCACCTTCCCGGACTCCTTCCCCCAACAGCCAGCCGGCAGCCTGCCGTTCACCCCCAGCTCACCCACCAACAGCTACCCGGGTTCCCCCAACAGCGGTACAGGAAGCTCTGCCCCGTTTCCCCACTCTCCATCCAGCTCGGACCCCGGCAGCCCTTTCCAGATGCCAGGTGGGTTGCAGTGGGAGTCCCTTTGCATTGCCGTTTGTGTTAGAATCATGAAATTTGAGATTTGATTCCTAAGGAATTGTAATCAAGATAGTTGTGAGGTTGGATTTACACGTCTAGTCATTACTGTAAATGTTTCTGCATTAACTTTTTGGAACATCTTACCAGTTACTTTTAACAGACTTAAGAGTAAGTAAAAGAAAATGAAAGCAAACTACAAAGGCTTCTTCAACATGTATCTGGTATCATACCTTCTTTTCTCTCCTTTCAAAAAAATCTTCATCCACACCAGCAGTAATTTTGAAAATCCCTCCATCCACATGAGAGCACAAAACTGACTCAAAAAACTCACATGAGCGTGTCAGCCCAGCAGAGGGTGATAATACATCATAAAATTTAATGTTATATACTGCAAGAAGAACATTGTGATCATGCGTGGTGTGCAAAATATAACACACCACAAGACAGAAACAGAGATCTTCTGACAAAGTGACTGTACAAACACAGTGACAAACACCGTAGGCTGTGACTTGCAGGCTGTCAGACCTCGGTAATTCGATATTTTACATTTAAAGTCTGATTTCTGACAGCTTTGAAAGGGTTTCATTCCTAAACACGTTACAGACCAATTTCAGGAATTTTCGTTCTTTCATGATATACGTTGTTGGGAGTGGGCTTTACACTAACAAGAAATGTTAAAGGTCTATTAGGATAAATATCAGGTTTTGTTAGAGAATTTAGCTTGTTTTCAAAAACTCATTATACCCAAAATTGCTAGATATCATTTTTAAATGAAACTCTTCATTTTCAAAAAGCTGTTTGTTGTCTGTACACACGTAAAGGAGTTTTCAAAAACTTCAGCTTATAATTATTGAAAACCTTTTTTTTGTGTGGACAGGAGTCCAAAAAACATTTTAAAAATATGTATGTGTGTGGATGGTTCCTAAATGTTTGTTCTTTGAGATTGTCTTATGAGCCTCACTTTAAACATGTGCGTGTCGGCCTTGCAGAAACTCCCCCACCTGCATATATGCCTCCTGAGGAGCCGATGACACAGGACTGTCCTCAACCAATGGACACCAACCTGCTGGGCCCCAACATGCCTCTTGACCTCAACAACCGGCCAGGTAGGCACACACGCATACAAGCATATGCGCATAGCCCTTACCATTCATCACCTACGCTGACATACGTACTGCTTGACATCAGCCACTTATAACTGTCAGCAGCTGTCGGCCTACGATACAGGTGCAGGAAGTCCTGACACACACACAGACACATGCACACACTCACACACAGAAGCTGTTTTTCAGTGTATCTCGTTTATCAGTTGTGGAGATTCTGCAGCACACAGTGTGTCATGCTGTTATACCTTATATTGAATAAATTAAATGACTCATGGTTTAAATTAGCAAGTAATTATATTTTCAGTGATGATGTTCCTGCATTAGATCTGTTTGGCTGAGAATGGAGTCCTGCACAAACTGGTTCAGCTTTTCCAAATCTCAGTTCAGAATCAGGTCACTTGGTGTCAGTTACCAAAAGAATACAAGAAATGATCTCTTTAATGACCTATAGCTTCACTACAGAATTTTTTAATCTTTGAAACAAGGGGTGGGCGATATGGCAAAGATATTATATCATGATACTTCAGACATTTGCATCACAATATTTAATTTTTCTGAGATTTAATTGGAACAGACAAATAAGAACCTGTAGAGCTACATGTAAACATACTACTACTACTACTACTACTACTACTACTACTGATGAAAACCTACAGCTACACCAAAAACCAGAAAAAAGCTGGCAGAAAAAATGCAGTTTGTATAAAATAAACTTGCTAAAATGCTTACAGTGTATAGTTTACAGTACCAGCATTCCGGCATTCTCAGCAACAGAGAACCGTTGGTCATCAAGGCAATGAATTATATTATTTTTTAGTTATATATAGCGTCGTTATGCTTTCTGCTTCTGTTACGTTGCATACATTGCTTCTGCATATTGAGCAGTTTTAAAGTGGACCTCTAGTGGAGAGGTGTTTGAGCATTGTTCTCCTTCTTTATATTTGGTATGAACAGTGATTACAAACCACTTCTCTAATGTCCCTCAAAGAAACTGTGAAGTTAACGGAACAATAAATAAAATAATAAATAAAAATTAAAAATCTTTGTTTTCGCCTTTTTTTTTCTTTTGTCAGTTCCCACAGTTTTTATGGTGTCTATTTGGATCAGATCTGTATAACATATATAGTGAAAATGCAGTGTGTTATTTAGACATTGACAAAACACTTTTTGACTGATTTGTGGCCAATCACTCAATACACTATATAACCATAGAGGAAAATAGGCTGTACAGTTGTCAGGGAGGTGTGCAGGGGGACAGAGAGACAGAGGGTTGTTGAAATGTTTGTGGAAGTGGCAATAGAGTGGGACTTTTAGAGTTGAGCTCAAGCTGCATCCTGTGTAGCAGTGCTGGGTGCTGCTCCATTGTGAGCAAGCTGATGGGAAAAGGGTAGACAAAACACACCTGCAGCCCAGTGGCACACAGCGCAGGAAGCAGCGAGAGGTATGTGCTGGATAAACAGCCTCTGGGCTCCCTCGGGGTGGGTGGTGGGGGGTACTGGCATGACTGACCTGCGGATAGTCGGTACTGGGCACAGACACACACAGAAATGTTTAATATTTATATTAATTTGACCACAGAGTCTTCACACAGCACTGATTCAGATAGAGGTTTCTTTTAAGTATGCAGTCAGTTGTCATACTGATTAATTGAAAATTATGATCACAGTGGACATTTCTGATTCGAGAGAATGACTAATTATACTGTGGCTTGTTAAAGTAGCATTTTCTTTTTGTACTGTGCTGCACTTCTGAGCAAACCATGGCACCGGGGAGGGTCTTTGAGCTGGCTGAGTTCTGACCAACGTATTAGAATTGCTTCAAACGTTTATCTGCAGCCAGATTGGTTATAGATTAATAAAAATAGTTCAGTACTGTGCAGAAATCTGAGACCGATTATGTGCTTTTCAGTCAAAATGGCCATTAGAAGTTACTCATTTTTCAGTGTTGGGGGAAAAAAATACTATTTAACACAAAATTACACAGAAGCCTCAACAACAAAATAAAATATCAACTTTTTCAGTAATTGTCCACACTCTGGCTTTATTACAGCTGCCATTATTTTCTGGGCACGTGCAGGAGATTTTCAGTTCTAGAAGTTGATTGCATTTTCTCACAATCCAAGTAATCCTAAACACATTCATTAATGGTGAGATCTAGACTCTGGGGTGGACAGTATATTGTTCTGAGAACACCAGCAGCTTCTTGGTCTGATTTGCGAATGTTCTTCTTTTTGTCTGTTTCTTTTCCTCACTAACAGCCTCTTGAGTGCTTAACATCTTATATTTAATCTTCTCAGGGAAATCTCCTGGAAAATGAATGACTTAATGGCCATTTTGACCAGAAATTGATTAAAGGACATTACTGTATAGTTACAAAAATAAATAATTCTGTGTGTGTGTGTAAACTTCCTCTGCAGATGTGCAGTCGGTGGCTTATCAGGAACCTAAACATTGGTGCTCCATTGTGTACTATGAGCTGAATAACCGTGTGGGAGAGGCCTTCCAGGCCTCTTCGACCAGCGTGCTGGTGGACGGCTTCACTGACCCTTCCAACAACCGCAACCGCTTCTGCTTGGGCCTGCTGTCCAACGTGAACCGCAACTCCACTATCGAGAACACCCGCCGCCACATCGGCAAAGGTTTGAACACATTACTATCTGGGTGCAGAGTTTGAGGCTCCCCACTTCAGTCCTGCAGTTCATATTCACTAACTGCACAGTATTACTTGGTAGCAGTGTTTGTGACACAGATTGTTGTCAACAAAAAAGCATTGATGATCTGTGTTAATGTGATAATGTGTTGATGAAGTGTTTTTCTGATTATTATGTTTGATTGAACTTATGCTACTGTTGAAAAGTGTGGAAGCTAAGAAGCTGTAGAAATTAAGAAGCTTTAGATGTGTCCAGAACGATGAGCAGTGCCATATATTGTATATGACTTAGAAAGCTGTTTAACATCAAGAATAAAGTTCTAATAAATTTGCCTCAAGTGCTGATTACATTTCAAGGAAAATAATATGACAAAAATGAGTACAAAGAGATAATTGCAGTTTATTATTTATCATTTAACAACTTCTTGTTATTCCCAAAGTACTTGAAATATTGTATAAAGGCGTAAATCGACTTTGTAATGATTTGAACATTTTGAGGAATTTGTAGTACTAGCATTGTGTACATTGTAAGAAATAACAACAGTGATCATATGAAGTGAGTTCAAACTTCAGAGCAGTAGTGTATTTGCCATTGTTCAAGCTTTTGCTTGGAACAGAGAAAATGCTAATCAGTGTGGCTTAGGTGGACCTCAGAATCAGGATTGACAACCACTATTATAGTAACATGGGTATAATTTCATTATCTCTTCCCTTTGTCTGTCAGGTGTTCACTTGTACTACGTTGGGGGTGAAGTGTATGCTGAGTGCCTCAGCGACAGCAGCATCTTCGTCCAGAGCCGCAACTGCAACTACCACCATGGCTTCCACCCCACCACCGTCTGCAAAATCCCCAGCGGCTGCAGCCTCAAAATCTTCAACAACCAGGAGTTTGCCGAGCTGCTGGCCCAGTCAGTCAACCATGGCTTCGAGGCCGTCTACGAGCTCACCAAGATGTGCACCATCCGCATGAGCTTCGTGAAGGTAGCTTGTCTGCTGCAGTTACAGGGCTCAAATACATTTCGGTTCATACAGTTCAGGGAAAAACCAATAAGAAAACTCAATGGCAGTAATCAGTCACCTGATTGCAGTTATCTGCTAATATTGGAGTATTGTTAATATTAGTGTGCCTAACTTAACTAACTTTCAGTTACCCCATTCGTTTCAGCAAAAAATTGACTCTTCACAATGAGCCATTCATTTTTAAAACAGTTATTTGAATTTAGATTAATAAGTGAACTGAATTGACCTGGAATTGATGTAATTCACCCTGACTCTGTCTGGCAAAGGCGACAAAGGCGGCATTTGTTTCAGTCACTCATTTGAGAAATACACTTGAGATCATATAGCATTGAGTAAGAACATTTTATTTTGTAAAACAATTTGGTTATTAAAGAGTACTTGTAAGATCTTATGTCTTAACCAAGGTTATTCAATTTTAGTGCATTCATAGTTTTAGTGTTTCTTTAGTTTAAGTTTTCATTTTTAGTATTATGGTGAATCATTTTGTTAGAAACTGGACCAAAATGGACTGATGAGTTTTGCAGTGCAAAATTAGCACAACAGTAGATTGTGCTCAACTAGGTTGCTCAAAGACATTGTGATTACTCAAAGACATTGCTCTTACATTACTCATAGGTGTTGCCATTGCTTTACTCAAAGACATCGGCAAAACATTATTTACAGACATCGACAATCCATTACTTGAAGATATCAACAAATACGCTACTCAAAGACATCGCCAGTACAGTACTTAAAGACTTCTCTATTACTTTACTCAAAGAAAACCACTACATTAGTCAAAGACAATAGCATTACGTTACTTGAAGACGTCATCAATATATCACCGATACAGTACTCAAAGACATAGCCATTTACTAGGTTTTTAAGGTTTTGACATAAAAGGGATCCACTTGTAGACTGTCGTTTTTTCGCTTTTTGCTGTAAACTGAATAGGTGGATATATGTAAATGAGTTTATTCTTGTGGCATCACAGAAACAGTGAATTTAAAACAAGGCATATTTTCTATATAAGGGCCCTATGGACTGGGTAGTGAATAGTATTTTTTGATACGTTGGCCCGTGTTTACATATGGGCCCTTCAAAATGTTTAAAAGCACTAATACACACTGAAGTCATTCCACTACAGGCATTATATTGAAAGACCTTTTCAACAAAAAATAGCTCCTTGTATTTCTTTACAACATTATCATGAGCACTACTGTTTACTATTTACAGATTATCATTAAAACTGACCCTTCATCTCATGCTTTCGCTTAAGTCGTTGCTGGTGCAAATCAGTTGTGATGTTTTCTTCGTGTTCCAGGGCTGGGGTGCGGAGTACCATCGACAGGACGTGACCAGCACCCCCTGTTGGATCGAGATTCATCTCCACGGGCCGCTGCAATGGCTGGACAAGGTTCTCACGCAGATGGGCTCTCCTCACAACCCCATCTCTTCAGTGTCGTAGACCTCCAGCTCATGGGACCCTCTCCTTTTAGGTTCCCATGGAGACGAGTGGGTGATTGGCTAGTTGGGGAGGGGAGGGTGGGGTTTGTACTCTACTTGAAGGCAGTTTGAACGGGGGCATACGATTTGACTGGCAAAGGGCAAGTCCTCAGTCAGCAAACATCTGGAAGATACTTGATAATTTTGTGTGACCAAGCATATTAATTGATGAGGCCATCATACTTGTGGCAAGTATCCTCCTCCGGTCTTGTAACAGCAAGTGGTTTCCTTTTTCAATTCTTCTCCTTTTCCAGAATACATCGCAGTATTCCATTGGGGGTGGGAGGTGTGTGTGGGGGGGTACCCACAGTGTAACTGGGGGCTGGTACAGTGATTATATTGTAAATGTACTGCGTAGTGGGGACTGAGGCTAGCTGACCGACCTGCTTAACGAAGAATTGATTAGCTAACTAGAAATATTGAGCCTCGGATAAACTTACTAGAAAGTGTCTGCGTAGAGGTAATGAGGTCAGTGTCTCGCAGATACGTTTTATGCTCTTTTTTTGAAAGAAAATGTAGCAAAGGTGGAAGGAAAAAAAGATCCAGTGGAAAAAGGAGAAAAAGTAAGTGAATAATCAAAAACCTTGTAATGGGAAATAAATATGGTGAGTAAAGGCATGACGTTAGTGAGTAGGAGTACATAGGCAGACTTGTGCATATGTTGCTCTACTTTTATTGCATTCAACTGAGTTCAACTGATTTAAAAGGTAGTGTGTAGATGTACTCATTATTAGAGGAAGTGCTGTGCAGTCTGTTTTTTGCCAGTGTAGTTTGTAACGTCCCAGGTTTTTAACGGATAATATGTATGGGAGAAGAGGCAAGCATTGTTTACCTTATCCATGTCAAGTGGAGCTCCAGGTGGAAATTTTCATGATGATTTAATTTGGAATTCCGATTTCTTTATAATGTCTACACAGTTAAATCGTTGAGATGTAAAGAAAGACATTCAGAGTGGACTGATTTGAAATGCGCCTGTGTAGAGAAGCTTAACAGAACTGTTCAGAGTGGTGGTGGTAGGAACCAGACATCTGCCTGGAAAAGCTATCTCACTGAAAACTATTGCACAACATGGTTATGAATATGCTGCCTGATGCTTGAAACGTTGTTTTGAGAATCCATTCATGGCAGTTGTAAAGCAAAATAGTAGCACTAGTTTACCATTACCAACATTACATACAAGAACTCAGAAGACGTGTACACTCTTAAAAAAGATGGATTTCGTAAAGGCAGTGGTTCTATTAAAAACCCTCTTTTTTAGCAGGAAAATGGCTCTAAAAGGAATCATACCCTTTACTAGAAGCCTTGAAGAGCCATCTTTATTAAGAGTTAAGGTTCACTGCGGTCTTTGGATATCAAGACGCCTGGTTCTCATCATTGTAAAGAAAATTTGTCGGTAAGTTTCTCAAAACACCCTGAATGACTTTGTTTACATTTCAGTGACTGAATTATGCAGAAATGTTGACAAAAATTAGTAAGTCCCCTTGAAGATCGGCTTCTGCTGATCTTGAAGGAATGGAAATGTTATAACAAACTAAAGACACAGGGCTGTTAGCATTTATGCAAATTAAATTGTGCTAAATGGCCTCGTTGGCTTTTATTCGGTTTTAGTTGTGTTCACTTAAAAGTGTTCCTTTAAGACAGTGTTGGTCACTCTCTGTCCTGGAATGCAGCTCATGAGCTGATTACGAAGCCTGCCATGAGTTGAATCAGGTGAAATGCAGCAGGGAGAATATTGAACAGTGCTGCAGCTCTTTAGGACGGAGAGTTGGGGAACACTGGTTCCTCTTACATTGCTTAAAGCAGTCTCAGATTGCAGCAAAATCAGGACTTTACTGTTGCTCCAAGTGCACTGCACCAGCGCTGCACTCAGCAGATCTCTCTTTTCTTTCATTTCCTCAGTTTTAATACACAGGTATGAGTTTCCCAAAAGCACCACAGCACCAAAGTCCTAGTACAATACTAGAGTGAACCACTCTGTTGCTGTTATTCTTGGTACTGGGGACCCCATGCTATGCACATTCTTGCATTTTTCACACTAAAATATTCAGCCGTGTGTGAAAGTTTGGGCGCCCAAGTCAGATGACATGTTGTCTTGATTTTCTAAATGAAAAGAAGTTTAACGTTTTCTACAGAGAACACACTTCTGCACATTTCAATGCACAGTTGCTGCTCATTTGCCAAAATTAACGTATTGGAAAAAGTAAAACATAAAATGTAAAAATGCAAAAATGTCAGTTTTATGTTTTTATTCTTTCAATACGTTAAACACAGCAAATAAAATAGAAATTGAACACTACAGTTTGCCAAAAATTGCCATATTTAAGTATGTCTGCCTTCAGCAAATTAATTTGACCAGGGGTGCCCAAACTTTTGCATACCACTGTATTTGACTGAGCTTGTGAAGGGCATGATCAGTTAACAGCTGAGCCTGTTAGGATAGTGAAAACAATGTGCAATGCAAGAACTGAGAGAAAGAGTTCTGATATTTGTCATTATTGTTTGTCACGCTAGCGTGCTTTTACAGATTTGGTAATGATGGTAAAGTGAGTATAACGTTTAACGCTCTCTCTGATAGTTAAGATCTTACCCCTGTGATCCTTTTGGGAAACTGGGCCCCATTCATCATCATGAGACAAAAAAGTCTTGCCTGAGCATATTCAGCTTTTTAAAAGTAAAACAGCTGATTTTATTCGATGACTAAGTTCTAAATGGCACTATTGATATTGTTTTGTAAAATGTAGATTTTTGATTAACTTTTCTTTCGATTTTTTATTCATAGAGAGAAATCCCATCCGCTGTTTAAAATGATACATTTTTGTATTTTTTAAAGAAAATATATTGTTGTTCTGTCATATCTGCACTTTCATAAGTGGCTCCTTGTCTTTGTTTGCGTCCTTTTTGTGCTGTTATTGCTGCGTAGTATTTCCAGAAAGCAGTTTTATCCATGAATATCAAAACTCTACTGGAAGATTCAATAAAATTGTTTCAATATCCCTGACTTACTGTCTTCTTTTAACTTTAATGATCTTTATCTATTTAATGAACTAAACTAAACTTTACTCATTTTGATATACTATAATAATTTTACTATAAATTCTAAAACTATTAATTCTATACGGTCTTTGTAAAGTAATAAATGTCCTGTTAAAAGTATAAATGACCTTATTTTGAAATTATGTCACTCTCTTTCAATCAGACGTTATTGCTGTATTAGTGTTTGCATGATTAAAGACCTGATACTTCTCCAAACAGGAATTTAGGATGAAAGGTTTTATGCAAATCAGGTGAATTTTATCTTCTTTACATGACCAGATGTGTATGTTACATGAGACCATTAATGCGTAGATTGTATTTTTATGGAAATGTCTGGTTGTTATTGTGCAAGTCAGCTTAGAAAAGATCTGATGGAATGTGATCCAATACTTTGTAAAAAGATCTGACAGGAGAACAAATAAAGTCTTATAAATAAAGCCTTAGACTGAGGCCTCAGAGATGTATAGGTCTGGCCTACTGCTGCCTTTTACTTACTTGCTCCTTTGCTTTTGCTGCCCCCCTTCGGACAGATGTTGGTACTGCACAATGTGAAGCTTTGTGACTTCCAAGATTTTGGCACTGGTCACAGATCAGGCCTGCAGTTTTGCGCATTTTTGTGCTGTATGATTCAGACTGTTGTTGTTGCGCTTAACATTTTATTCAAATATGCGAATCATTTTGCAGCAACCTCAAAAATAAATAAGTAAATAAATCGCATCTGTTTTACAGTATATTATTTCCGATCTAACTTTCATCAGATGCTCTCTGAAAATATCTAACAAAATTAATTAATTAAAAAAAACACCTTTATTTTATACTTCAAAGATTTGGAATTTTATGCCTACTTAGACACATCAGGCACTTTTTTTGTTTATCAGTGAACAAAATGTTTTTTTTCTTCTTCTATTTGCACATTTCTGTGAGTTGTATTTCTGTTTGTAAAATGTAAACAAATAATAATAAATTATTATTATTATTATTATTATTTATTTATTATTATTATTCAAAGAAGAATTTTCTTCATTTTTATCATTTTCCTAAATACTAAAAAACACATGGAATGATGCAGTGATAAAAAAAAACAGCAAACAGCAAATAAATCCGTCTTCCATTTCAGTTTAATTTAGAAATTAGACCCCCTTTGCCTCGAGCTAAACACACTCTTGGTATTCTCTTGAGCAGCTTTATTTTTAATTTTTTGGATTGAAATTTAAAAATGTGTATTTTGAAACTAATTTCACACATAAGCCTGAACTCCACTATTCCTGTTTGTCTTAGAAACAAATTTCAAGTCTTAGATCAAAATGTATTTAAGGTTATGAAAAAAAGCGTATTCAGTTAATAAATGTGTCCAAACTTTCCTAACATTTTTGCTTGGATATTATTTGACTCGAAATGAAGACTTTTATTTTGACAGAAGAAAACTTTTAATTTGGCGACTTTCCCGCACCTCGGAAGACCGTTGCAGTGTGTTCAGTATGAGAGGTCATGGCTCCGCTTTAGACGCTCACCGGTTTCACTCTTCCAGTCAGGTTTTTACTCTGATAATGCCGTAAATAAAGAGTGAGCACTGAACGGAGCAGCGTCGGTAACACGGGGTGAGGTTAGTGTTGAAGGCGAGACGGCTGCGTGTTAGGAGGGTTAAAATGACCACTGTTTTTCTGGTTATCTGGTTACCTGCTCATCTCTGGGGGTGAACAGCCGGACAGATAGTAATTAGTGTGTCTGCAGCACAGTGTTAATATTCAGAGGTGACTTGTTCAGAGTAAGCAGACTGACAGTACAGGTTTCCAGTCCATAACAGTAACTTAACAGTACACCTTTAAAAAAGATGGTTCTTCAAGGGTTCATAAGTAAAGGCAGTGGTTCTATTTTAGAACCCTGAGTCATTTCATGCTTAAAAAAGAGGGTTATTCTGTTGTTACATGTTAACATTACATTAGCAGAACCGTTTATGGTATTATATAGAACAGTTTTCAAAAAAGAACTAACACATTCTCCATCAATCCCAGCAACTGTTTCAACATACAAAGAAGCATTTAAGCATGAAATGGTTCTATACAGAATTCATTACTCTAAACAGAACCTTCGGCTTTACTAAAGAACCCTTGAAGAACCATCTTTTTAAGGTGTAGTTAAATGAACAGTCCAGGATTTATCTCAAACTCGTATTTTCCTGTTTTGAGAGTATTTTAAGCTATTTATTTATTGATTGAAAGTCATGTTTCTAATGTAAGATAAAGCACAAAAAACAAACTCCCATAAGATTCCATAGAGCATACAATAAAATTGCTTTTAGGAGCTCCAATGTACATCTAATGCAGTGTTGCAATATTCTCCAAATTCTCCATCAGTTGTGCTTTTATTTCTTATGTATATAATATGTTCACACAACAAAGCATGTAATCTGATGTAAGACTGGTAGAACTTTTACTCCTGTACACTTGTCTGAGTGTTGTGAGTAGTAATGTGTCTTTATATGTCATTGTTTTCCACTGTCCTCCATCTCAGGCGGAGGAACACAGGTAACTGAGGATAATGGGATAATTCCACCAGAATAGTAGCTTTCCAGGCAAACAAATAATGATTTTATGCTATTTTTTCTGTGATTATATTAAAATATCTTAATTCACATATCCCAAGGACTAGATTTGAATGGTTTTTATACTTGCCAACCATTCAGGATTTCCCAGGATTGTGTAAGTTTTTGGTTTTGAATTACTTTCCTGGACACAAAATGTCCAGCAATTCAAGCGAATTTATATGTTAGTATTTCTTATGAAGCTTAAACTGAAGAAAAAAAGAAGTTTCTATCAAGTCAAACCTTTTGTATATAAAGTTTTGGGTTGCTTTAGTTCAGATTATCCTCAATGCAGGGACAGTCATCTGGCAAAGGTGCACTTCCGGTGACATATCCAGGAACCACGCAGCACTTCAATGCAGTATCTGAGAACATTAGGTTCTGTAGCAGACCTGATACCTATCTACTGTGCCATGAGCATAGCTATCCATCCACTAAATTTATGAAAAAAAATAAAATAAAAAATCAAGTCACTGATTGAGTGTCCAGGAATATTTGTACAGAGTTGAGGTGGCAACCCTAACTTGCAGTTGTACAAGACCAAAAATGCTCTTTGGAATCATTAAAAAACCAACAGCCACACAACGTCACCAAATTCATTTTTAAGAATCCTGAGAACAACAGGAAAATGCATAACGATGAAAAATTATCTGACTGCCTCTTAAACAGGAACACACTTAAAAAAAAAACAAAAAAAAACAAGATGCCATTCAGCGTTACCACCAGCATTAACCCTCCAGCTGTAGCTACACACAGATCTTTTTTGCAACCGTTTCTCGCTCATTTCTTGCATCTCTTTCTCAGGTTGGTAGGGGGAAATGGGTCCAGCTGGCTTTCTCCCATTTCTACAGCGTGTGAACACTCTATCCTCCACATGCACATCAGCAGCAGTTATTTGTTCCTTTCGGCTGCTGAGAGCAGGCCTGTGGCGTGGTCCTGCCTGCGCCCTGGTACACTGGAGGAGCATCTTTGTGGAGAAAGCCTTCAGCCATCATGGGTCAGAGTTGACAGACAAGGAGAGTAGACTGCTGGACAGGCTGTATAATGGACTCGTTGGGGGTCAGAGATCGTCTCTTGCCGAGTCTATAACTCTGGTGGAGACACAGCACCCGCGGAAGAAAGAGCTGGCCCAAGTGCTGGTACAGAGAGTCCTGGCCTTTCGGCAGGAGCAGGAGAGACTGAGTGGGGGGAAACCTGTGGCCTTCAGAGTGGGTGAGTGGGTGATTCGAGAAATTCTCATCTTTATCTCTCAAACTATTGCAGCTCATAGCACACCTGCTTCAGGTAAACAAGCTTTCCAACAAGTGCTTCTGGCAATGATATCCTTAGATTCTGGCAGATATGCACTAGCAGAAGGATACATTTTCTGGGTAGACAACAAAGCAACTTTGTAAATCACCCTGAATGAGAGTAACTTACAAATAACATACATGCTGTTAAATGGCGCTCATCTTGCTCATTAGGTGTGTTAGAAGCTGGAACACGATAAAATCTTGCAAGGGAGGTGGGATGAGTAGACTTGTCACAGTTATTACATTTCAAGAAAGGTATAACATGAGATGTTTACTTCTCTTACTTCTTGTAAGATTAGCATCTAACAGTAGGCTATTATGGATAAAATACTCAAACAATTTAGTGTTTCCTCCGCAAAGGAAAGAAACAGACCACTGAAGTTGTCTTGTCGTTCTGTATTCGGCATCATGCCCATAATAAGATCTCTGGGTCTAAGTGGGTTTTCTTACACATGGATGAACTTCTGATGAGATGGCTAAAGACTAACATGCATTATTTTGAAAAATTGTTTACATTAAAACACCAACTGGAACTCACTGGGGACGTCTTTGGTTGGTCATGATGCTCATAATACACAAAAGATTATTCGTCAGAAAGTTCATTTGCAGGTTGCAAAGGACTTTCTAATTGTCATTGTGGTGTTGTGTGAGTATCATTGCTGTCGCGCAAAAATATTTCTTTTTTTTTTGCATAATTTAAAAATTCCTGTTGTCTATTGCATTATGTTGAAATGACATAATGAGCAGATAAGTAGGAATGGCCCAGATTTACTTGGATTATTGTGTAGATTAACTTCCATTACAAGTAAAGAAGTTACCATTTTCGAGAGGCTACTAGAAGTTACCATTTTTGGCCTCAAGGTTTCCTGGGCTGGCTATCTGTGTGACGCACCATAGTTGTGGAGTGAAACTTCCAGAAAAGTTGTGGCGCTGTGCAGAATGTAAATAAAAGAAGAATGCAATGATATGCAAATCATGTAAACCATATTTTTAAAGGAAAAGACAACATATCAAATTCTGGCTAACTAAGTGACTCTATACTGTGGTCATTGTGTGTGTTGCTGTGTTATTTTATTTATTGTTGATTGTTCCAGCAGTGATGATGTGGAAGTTAATATTCACCCAGTTGTACTTTATTTTAAAACTTTAGATAATTCCCCACCTGCAGTCCACTGAAATGCCTGTCGATGTTTGTTGTGTCTGTGTGTGACTGCAGGTCTGTCTGGTCCTCCGGGTGCAGGGAAGTCATCCTTTATCGAAGTGCTGGGGAAAATGCTGACAGGAAAAGGCCACAAAGTCTCGGTTCTGGCTGTTGACCCTTCCTCCTGCACAACCGGAGGTGAGCACAAACACCACAAGGCCACGTTTATTAGTTTCATATCAATTTCCAGCCATCGATATCACCTGGACAAGTAGCACCACTGTGGTGGAGTCTGAAACTGAAGCACATTTTAGATACTCCAGCCATTTTCCTATTTCATGCCATTCAACTATAGAGTCCTGTCAAGGTAGAATTTGTAGCTTTTTTCCTTTGCACATATCCAAGAGACTATTTCCACTCCCTTCGTACAGTGAAGCTGTATCATATCCACATTATTGCAGTAGTCATCTCAAATGAAGTTGTTGAAACTGTTAGTATCATGCTAATTATTTACAACAGACCATAATGCTTGAATCACATTGATTCTTCTTACCTGATCAGGTTTTTGTCTCATTAGTTTTATGGATGTGGTTAAAACATAATTGTTAAATTTGTTTTCTTGTTCAGTTCTTAAGATTTCAGCTTCAGGAAATCAACAAAGGCGGTTAACTTGTTTTACAAAAGTAGTTAATAACTTTCCCTGTTAAGTCGAGTTTAGATACTCAGGCTGTGATTAATCACAGAATTGATTGATCATGAACAACCAATCACATGTAACATGAAGAGGAGTTGAGTGGCTAATTTTTCAAAGAAAGAAAAGAAATTGTACTCTGTAAATATGTAGAAAGTCACCATGTTTAGTGCAAACAGAGCAATAATTGCTTTATCTGCTTGATATATTTTTTATGTGATTGATGCAACAAATCTCACAAAAAATGACCCAAAAAGGACCCGAGGAGTACACCTCTGTCAGAAGGCTGTCCCTGATTGGTCAGAAACTTGCCCTGAACTTAAAGGGAATTCCAGCAAGTTTTCAAAATCTCTGTATAATCAGAAGACTAAGATGTAAAGAAAGTCATTCAGAGTGGTTTGATGTGAGATGCTCCTAAAAAAAAGAAGAGCTGATGAAACACAGTGGTAAACATGCCCCTGTCCCAACTTTTTTGGAGCTTGTATCAAATTCAAAATGGCCATATATTTTTTAAAAAACAATAAAATTTCTCAGTTTCAACATTTGATATGTTGTCTTTTCCTTTAAAAATATGGTTTACATGATTTGCATATCATTGCATTCTTCTTTTATTTACATTCCGCACAGCGCCACTTTTTTGGAAGTGGGGTTGTATTTTTAAACTCATTCATGGTGGAGATTCAGGCAAAGTAGTCCCAAAAGTAAACTTATTTTTTAGATTTCACACCATTATCACCATTACATTACATTACTTCAGAAGGCCTGTAGGTTTACTGGTGGTTTTGGATAGTGAATAAAGTGACTATATTTACAAGGGAGACATCATAACGTCTTGTTCCTGTCACTACCACTGTAAAAAATTCTGACTGTCTCTAGAATGGAGCATTTCACATTAAACCACTCTGAATGACTGTTTACATCTCAACGATTGAATTATTTAGCAGTGGTCATGGTGATGTAGCCTGGTAAAAAAGTGAAAGAGAAAATTCAAGATTAGATTGAAATAAGCCTAACGTTAGCTGGCTAAGTGAGAAATCCTGCTTCATGGAACAGGTCCCAGTTCTGTTCTTCTTTCATGTACCAACTCAGAAAACCCATAAAAAACAAATTCAACATGTGTACTTAGTCATAATTTTCTTAAGTACATATTTTTGCTTGCTTATACACTAAAAAATGTTCAGTTTAATGTATAAGAATAGTGTTAAGTATACCTGTGAAGCAGTTTCTGAATGAGTTAAAACCACTTAAACTCAATCTAAATTAGTTTATAATCACAGTAATTGATTCTGATGTGAAAACAGTTACCATGTGAAAGTTAAAGATTGTGTTTTTTTTTAGGTTCACTGATGGGGGATAAAACGCGGATGACAGAGCTCTCCAGAGACATGAGCGCTTTTATCCGTCCTTCACCAACCTCCGGCACGCTCGGTGGCGTGACAAGGACCACCAACGAATCTATCGTCCTCTGTGAGGGTGCAGGCTATGACATCGTCCTGGTGGAGACAGTAGGTAAGGACATCTTCATTCAAACATTTCAGAGGTTTTCTCAATATTCATTCAAAATGTTTTATTTTTCCTGAAAATATTTAAATGTGTCATTTCCTCGAATCTTTGAGTGTCTGAATTTGGGATTGTTCCTGTATGTGTACTCATTTTATGTTTTTTTTGCTTTGGTTGATGTTTATTTAGAAGTGTGTGTTTCCAGGTGTTGGACAGTCTGAGTTTGCTGTGGCTGACATGGTGGACCTTTTTGTGTTGCTCATTCCACCGGCAGGGGGTGATGAACTTCAGGTAAACACTAGTGCTTTGAAGATGTTGGCACTGCTCCTACCAGAGAGCCTCTGCTTTTTCATTTCACTTTATTTTTAATGTTATATATATATGTGTGTGTGTGTGTGTGTGTGTGTAACCTTTATATAATATAAAATATATACAGTACTTGTGCAAAAGTCAGAGACTGCCATTTATTTATTTTCTAGTCAAAACGGCCATTAAGTACAAGCTGTTCATTTTCCAAAAGGTTTCTTAAAATAACATAATTCACTTTCTTAAAGCAAATCAAAAGAAAATAAGAAAAAAGAAGTTCCCAAAACTGGACTTCCTAAAAGTTATAGAGACTTATAACCACCATGCAAGACGTGTTGAAGTGAAAATAAGTTAACACATCCTCTACAGAACACATTTAAATATGTAATTTTTCAGCGTAATTTCTGTTTATTTACTGAGTTTAGTATATTGGAAAAAATAAAATATAAAATGTGCCATAACTTTTGCACAGGCCACATTTTATGTTTTTTTTCCCCAATATGTTAAATATTGTATTGTAACGTAACTATGTAAACATAATTTGACCAGACTTTTGCACATGACTGTACATAGTACAGTGCTAAAATCTTAGGCACCTAAGCAATTAGTTTAAAACCATCTTTCTGGACCATAACTGTGTTCCTTGTAAAAGCACCATACATCATTAGAATTAATGCAAACAAACATTAATGCAGTTGAAAGAAGTCTTCTTTTCAAAAAAGTGGTTGGTATCCTTTCAGCTAATTTGAAGGACATGAGTTTAGGTTCAGTTTTCTCTTTGATGCCCCCAACTGTCACATGAATTTATAAAATTCTGTCAGCATCACACCTGAGTTAATTTAATGAAGCATTGATTAGCCAAACCAGCTATTGGTGATAACTTCAAATAATTCTAGGCTTCCTTAAGAAGAGGTGTGGAAATGATTAAACAAAAACATTGACAGTCAGTACTTTCTGTGTTAATGTTTTTGTGTTTGTTCTATTATTTGTGTTTTTTCTAATATGAATGACCTTTCTAAACAAAAAATGCTTACCGCCCGAGACATACAAGAAGATATAGAAATGTGTGTGTGTGTGTGTGTGTGTGTGTGTGTGTGTGTGTATTTATTTATTTATTTATTTATTTATTTATTTAAGAAATGGTCCAAATCTTGTTCCCTTAACTTGTAGTCAATACTAACAACATTTTTTTCCATTCTCCTGAAAGAACGAGGCTCCAAACATCGAATCTGATTTTTTAAATTTATTTATGTATTTGTTTTCAACTTAGGGAATCAAAAGAGGAATCATTGAGAAGGCTGACCTGGTGGTAGTCACAAAGTCAGATGGAGAGTTGGTCATTCCAGCACGAAAAATCCAGGCTGAATACACAAGTGCTCTGAAGCTGCTTCGAAAGAAATCCAAAACTTGGAAAACTAAGGTACATTTTCAGTGCAAGAGTTCACTAATTTCTAAAAAATCAAATGTATTTGCACATCACAATCCCTACATGATAACATTTTAACATACTAGTATACAAATACAGTGTAGACTTACAGTATTTAATTTTTTAGTATGCAGTACTTAATTATTTAATCATATAGTGTTGCATTTTGCATCTCAGACTAAAGATGGAACCTAGTCATTTTTGCACATAATATGATTTGATATTGATAGAACTAGGAATCTAGCCAGGATCAATCTTGCATAATGAAAGTGTTGTTGGTGTTTTAAAAATGGCACGCGGGCCAGCAGGGGAGGCTCTTTTGCATCTGTCTTCACTCGCATGCCTCTGGTTCCATCTCGACACATGCGGTCTGCAGATGTCAGCTGAAGCTGGAAAATGATCCTCACCCAGAATACATTAAACAGTCCATCCAGAGCTTCTGTTCACAAAGCGTCTCGGTGTCGGAGCGCTGGTCCAGGATCAGGTTCTTCCTTGTTTATACTTGTTCTATCGACAGACTGCCCTGTGTTCTTTAATGAACACTGATGTGACCTACATGGGCTGACATTATAAGTGCATTAAATATAGCATTCTGTTTTTTATGCCAAAGCATTCACTTAGCATATATTTTACTGCCCCAGATAAAATTTGCGTCTAACCAATCCTCAGTGCACACCCACATTCCCTCACATTCCCTTTAACAAATGGGGTCACATGCACAGTGATGGGTATGGATATGTGTGTGTGTGCTTGGGAGTGAGCGTCGCTGGTATGTATGCTGGTATATGACACGTCCTAATGTTGGTTTCCCAGCATGCTTGGCTCATCGTGGACACTGGCATGCAGCTCTTTTGTCTTTTGTCCCCCCAGCAGTATATCTGCCTACAGGGCAGCATGCCAGCATGGCTGCCCCTTTGAATGGCCCTCCTTGGCCTCATGCATTTCACTGATTAGAGGCCACCCACACAGATGAGAGTCGCTTTACGTCTTTGTCTCCCCTCTGCAGAGCGCACTCAGAGCAGCATCCCTTTGACTGGAGGATGCCTCGACCGTATTGATCCCCCCGCTTTAGCCTCCCTGAAGGCTTTCCAGCCTGCAGTTCATCAGTCATTGAAACTGAGAAGGGAACGATATGTGTGGGCGCGCTGTCACCTTTTGTATGTCCAGCTATGCCAATATGTTTAAAGGAGGATATAGAATTTTTCTCTGCCACTGAATCTGTATAGGTTTGGTTTACTGTATAGGGCTTATGTAGTGAATGGTGAAGTTTAACACAGATATTCCACCGTTCTATATTTGTGATATCTAAACTTGCTTAGTTACAAATTCAATATTTAATTTCCACCCCTACTAGACTGCACATTCAGCCAGCATGTGGTGTAATTGTGGATCAATCTATGTAGATCAATGAATAGCCAATCACTGCAGTATTTTTTTTTTTTATGTGAGCTGTACTGCAGTTTGGTTTTCTATATATGCTAGTACTTTCTGCAAAACAGAGGTTTTAATATATGAATGATTTCAAGTCATAATATCTTTTTGTTAAAGTTCTAATATGATATGGACACTGATAGACATCAAACCCAATTTAATGTTACATTGCATTAAACCTTTTTTTATGCTACAGCCGTTTCCAAAAAAGTTGGGACGCTGTGCAAAATATGAATGGAATGAATGGTAAAAGAATGGAATGGAGTGATGTGCAAATCATTTAAACCCTATATTTAATTGAAAATAGTACAAAGACAGCATATCAAATGTTGAAACTGAGAAATGTTATTGTTTTTTTTAAAGAAATATATGCCCATTTTTAATTTGATGCCAGCAACATGTATCAAAAAAGTTGGGACGGAGCAACAAAAGACTGGTAAAGTTGTGTAATGCTAAAAAAAAATGGTGGAACATCTCACAAATAATTGTGTTAATTGAGAACAGGTCCGTAATATGTTGGGGTATAAAAAGAGCATCCCAGAGATGCTGAGTCTTTCAGAAGTTTAGATGGGGAGGGGTTCACCACTGTGTGAAAGACTGCACAGGCAAATAGTGCAACAATTGAAGAATACTGTTTCTCAGTGTAAAATAGGTAAGAACTTGGGGATTTTATCATCTACAGAACATAATATCATTAAAAGATTCAGAAAATCCAGAGAAAACTCTATATGCAAAGGACAAGACCGACAACCAATATTGGCTAGCTGTGATCTTCAGGCCCTCAGGTGTCACTGCATTAAAAACAGACATGATTCTGTAGTGGAAATCACTGTATGGGCTCAGGAACACTTCTGAAAGCCATTCTGTGAAAACAGTTCATCGCTGCACACACAAACGTAAGTTAAAACTCTACCATGCAAAAAAGAAACCATATATGAACAATATCCAGAAACACTGCCATCTTCTCTGGGCCTAAGCTCATTTAAGATGGACCGAGGTGAAGTGGAAAAGTGTCCTGTGGTCTGATGAATCAAAATTTTAAATACTTTTTGGAAATCATGGACGCCACGTCCTCCGGGCTAAAGAGGAGAGGAACCATCCTGCTTCTTATCAGCACACAGCTTAAAAGGCAGAATCCATGATGGTGTTGGAGTGCATTAGTGCACATGGCATGGGCGACTTGCACATCTGTGAAGGCACCATTAAAGCTGAACAATATATACAGGTTTTGGAGCAGGATATGATGTCATCCAGACATCTTTTTCAGGGAAGGCCTTGCTTGTTTCAGCAAGACAATGCCAAACCACATTCTGCACGTGTTACAACAGCATTGCTAAGAAGTAAGACAGTCCGGGTGCTAACCTGGCCTGTCTGGAGTCCAGAACTGTCACCCATTGAAAACATTTGGTGCATTATGAAACGAAAAATACGACAAAGGAGACCCCGAAACTGTTGAGCAGCTGAAATCTTATATCCTGTATATAGCAAGAATAGGAAAACAATTCACTTTCAATACTACTGGTCTGTCCAGTTCCCAAACACTTAGAGTGTTTAAAAAAAGAGGTAATGCAACACAGTGGTAAACATGCCCCCGTCCCAACTGTTTTGAGATGTGAGGCTGGCATCAAATAAAAATGGTCAATTTCAGCATTTGATATGTTGTCTTTGTACTATGTTCAATTAAATATAGGGTTTAAATGATTTGCACATCATTGCATTCTGTTTTTACATTTTGCACACTGCCCCAAAAATGGGGTTGTATATCTCTAGTGCAGGGGCATGTTTAGGGCTGGGGTCTCACTACCCCCCCTTAGAAATGTTATTGGCCACTACAGTGAAAGTGGACTGGAAGAACAGACACAAAACCATACTGTCACAAAGACTTTATTGAAGCTTGTAATGTTTATGCATATGCATATTTTAAAACTTTAAGTGGGGGCATAGACATGTCAATACAGATATATTCAGATATAGCTACGCCCCCACTAAACCGAAACGTCACAGTGGAACTCTGAAAGATGTAGGAATAATACGTTGTAGGAGGGGTCTATTGATCATTGGCCCAACAATAACTGGAGCCAGTGTTCAGCATTTTCCCATTTATTGAAATTGGCACTTGAACTTGTTTGTTTCCTTGTCAAAAGTGCTTTTTGTTGTGTATGTGCATATCTGACACAGGCAAGATAAAAAAAAAAAAAACAATACAATGTTCCGCCTGCAGCGCTACTGGATTGCTTGAAATGTGCATGACTTACTGAGTGCAACCAACCAACACTTCTGTAGTTTGTCTCTATGCCCCGCCCACAGCGCTACTGATTAGTGGACCACATTTTAAGTAAATCCAATGTAATATGCTTTTTGGTATTTGTGAGAAATGCTGTATTGAAGCATTTTTGTTCCCGCAACAAGAGGAAGGATAAAAACATGTTTAGGTTGAAGAACATAGTTAGCGAAAAGCACACTGCGCTCGTTCATATAATTTCACTCACTCTAGCCAGTCAAACGTGACTCGTGTGTGCAGCTTGAGCCTTGCCTGAAACTTCACATTTGTTTGGTGAGCATGAGATCTCTGGGTACGGGAGCAGACACTGTGTGTGGACTCAAACTGCTTTTTAGTAGTTTGAACGTATTTGGAATATGTGTGCCTATAGTAGAGCTTCAGTGGGCCAACTATGCAGACAGTCCTCCATACAGCAGTAAATTATTTGTAAAACCATAACTTTTCATTTTATGTTTAAGAAATAAGTTATACACAGTTTCTGGTCATTTTCATTTCTGTTTTTGCTGGTTAAAATTTCAGACTTCTGCAACTCGCTTCTTCCAAGGATTGCATTGCTCTGCTTAGATTAAATGGGCCATTTCCAAGAGCCAATCAGAATACATCTGATACATTCATCACATCCAACTACTGCTTATTATTGCATGAAATACATTTTTGGTTGAACAACAAAAATAAATCAATTTTAACATTCATATTCCCTCTTTGTTGTTGCTTTTTACAAAGCAGTGCCAGTTTTTGCTGGAAGATTCCTTAGATGCTTACTGTAGTGTTTTTACTGGGGGTTACATTGACAGTTCTGTGTATTTGGTTAGTGTAGGCTTTATACAGTTTTTAGTCTGCATCTAAGCTTTCTTGCTTGCACCCATATACTGAAAAGGCAAGCTCCACCCTGATGTGTGCCCTTTCAACACTGTCAGTGACTCATACCATATATTTGTATTACATAAATTTGTGTAAATATAATTAAAGTGTTTGAGCCCCTTTTTTGAGCTTAATTTTTCTTACAAATGCTATTGACTATTAAATGTCATTGAGAACTACTTCTGTTTAAAGATTACTTTAAAATGTTTTATTATTTTTGCAACCTGTCTAAGCTTTTTTGTAATGTTCGTTAATGTAGCAGTGAGTAAGAGTTGCATTCTTGTACATGCAGCTTGTAACTTGTACAATTCTTGTAACAGGTCTTTTTAAAGAGTGCATTCATCCTCGATTTCTGCTGGCCTCCAATGAGGAGGAGGTGATGGGACAGTCCACAATGTGAAAATTAGTTTTTAGCTAGCCATGGCATTAACAACATAGCATGAAACAAAGATGACATATGCAACCACTTATAGACTCAATCAGACCAACCAGTACACAGACGGGACATACAGGTGTTCCTACACTTTAGAAGTTAATAATTTCTAAAAAGGCGGGCAGTATGGCAAAAACGTAATATCACTTCAGAAAGTTTTCACAATACACGATATGTGACGATAATTATTTTTACCGATATTTGGTAAGTTACAACTAAGTAAGTCAAAGTTTATTTATATAGCACTTTTTACAACAGGCGTAGTCACAAAGCAGCTTTATAGAAAGAATCTGGGTACAAGTCCCCATAAGCAAGCCAGTGGCGACAGAGGCAAGGAAAAAATCCCTAAGAACAAGAAGAAGAAACCTTGAGAGGAACCAAGACTCAAAAGGGGAACCTGTCCTCTTCTGGTCGACACCAGATAGCAAGACAATAACATAAGCAGTGTAAACAGACAATAAGTAGTAGTGTCACATTTAAAAAAAAACAAAAAAAAAAAGTCAAACACTATATACAGTGATTTGTATTCAACATATACACTGCCATTCACTAAATCCAGTTAATCAGGACTAAGTACGCTTTCTTTGTAATCAAACATGCAGTTGGGAAATGTTGTTTAAGTACTGATGACATCCACAATATGCATATTGTGACTTATTGTGAGGAAATTTATCATGAAAATGATAAATATTGTTAGATTGCCCAGCCCTGATTTCCATTGCATTCTATATGTGGATATTAAGCATTTTGCCCCCTAACAATCCTGATTTTCATGGGGAAAGCCATGGTTTGATGAACAAAACAGTCTTTTCAGGCATAATATGGATGTTGTATTAACTGTATATACCAACAAGCATGAATATGTTCAAAAAAATCAAGTTTAGTATAGTACTTTAACTGAAGTGTAGTGTTACTCTAAACGTTTCTCTCCCTCCTCTCTCTGTTTTAGGTGGTTCGGGTGTCCTCTCAGACAGGTCAAGGCGTGCCAGAGCTGTGGGACATTATGCTGCAGTTTCGTGATGCCATGCTGGCCAGCAGTGAGCTGCAAGCACGAAGGCGGGAGCAGCAAAAGGTGTGGCTATGGAGCCTGATCCAGGAAAATGCCCTACAGCACTTTAGGGAACACCCGGCGGTGCAGGCCGGGCTACCGGAGATGGAGTGGAGGGTGACCCAGGGCGATATCTCACCTGGACTGGCTGCTGACCTTTTGCTCAGGGCCTTCAGGTCCCCACAGTAGCAAAGGCCCATTGAATACTCTTCCAATCAACACAGCAAACGTCTCAGAGTTCAATTTAAGGAATACGGCAGCCCTTTTCTACCTAATGTCTGTTCGCTGCATGCATGAAAATTTTGTGTTTTCCTGCACACAGAAAGGAATAGAAAACCTGTTGACTTGAAACACATTTATAATAGAAGCCAGTGGGTAGCTGCTGAAGCAGCTGTGGTTACTGAGTGTTTGCTACAGATGTGTTAGACGATGTGGTATTCTTTTAAAAAAATGACACAGTTTACCCCTACCTCACAAACTTAACGATTGGTGTCCCTAGTTTGCTTCTTTAGCAGTGGAGCTGCAGGACTAACATAAGTGTAGTTAGATTTTGGGTGACAGACTTCCATCACTTTTTTGTACATTAGCCTTGTAGCTCCAGTGCAATTTTAAAGGACCCAAAACTTGGATCACTAAATATATCATAGCTGGTTGGCTATGTTTGGGGTACGGATAAAGTTGTGTAAATTTGATTTTTCACTAAACCATTCTTTTTAACACTAATGATCTTGAATGAACTCTTACAGTGTTAATTTGTGTCCAGCTGGACCTACAAATACTGTAGACATTAAATTAATTCTGAGGATTTTTCCGCAAAGGATCTTTTAATACAGGGAATAAGTTGTATTGTTGCAGAATGCAGTCTTAGCAGGCCTTACAGTTTTGGTAGTTCAGTGAGTATCACAACACCACAGTTTTAGTGATTTCTCTGCTGTAATACACGATTTCAACTCATAAAGGCTTCTATATGACATACATCATGTATTGATTGTAAAATGCAAAACTCTCCAGTGCTGTAATTTTTGGGTTGTACTACAAAACTGGAGATATGGCCTGCTGAGCTAAGTGAGTGCAGTGTTTGCTATTTTAGAAGCTAAGTGGGTGGCACAGCACTGGATAGTTTGGTAAACAGCTCATAAATTGTCTTTGTTGTGATCGAGAAGGAAACTATGCAATGCTGTAAACTTAAGGGGTGGCAGGTACTAAAGAACTATATGTATGAACTAACTGCGTTCAAATTAATTTAGCATTGAATTGAATTGAGCACCTGTTTTGTGTTGCTAACACACAGGTCAGATTTACAACGTAAAGGACTGGAGAACATTTGTTTTAAAAGCTGGTTCCTAAAGTGATGCTATAGATGACAGAAGCTGATCATGCACCTCTTGCCTCTGGATTTCTAAAGGCAATATATATTGATAGGAAGTTAATTGTTTCTCAGTTGTTATATACTCTATCAAATCTGCCTGCATATGTGATTGATCCACACTGTGTTTACATTTATGTTGGATTTTAATGATTGTGTCCTCCTTTTAATTAGTGCATAAAAATGAATTCATTAAATAATTAGTTAAAAGCAAAACAGGCTCAAATTTCATCATCTTTGTCTATGGCTGGTTTTTAATTAGGGCCTCCACACATTCTTCAAACAGATTTGGCATGTAAAATAACTGCTTTAATAACCATAATTTATGCTAAGATGTTCTTTCTGCTCTGAAGTGGTTCATTAGCATCACATGCGGTTTTGTTTTTTTTGTTTTTTTTTCCTGGACACTGCCAACAGAAAACCAGCTTGTATTGAGAAGATGAATTTGATTACAGTAATTGGCCCTTAAGAGGGCTTTACAAAAATTCTCTGTGTATGTGACTACTTTTGTGAATGAACATTGTTGACTTACATGGTTTGCATCGGTAGCAGCTGTGTGTTCCCTTAAATCCTAGATGAACTGATATTCAGATTATGTTGTGGACTGTCTGATCAATCTATCTTCTTGATGTCACTGATCTTTCTCTACTTACACATGCTATTTTACATTCACTAATTGAAGTCAAAATGCAAAGATGGACAGCAGTGAGCACTAAACAGAAAAAACCTTTGCCATCTTTAATTTATTACATAGCATTAGGCTTAAGGATTCTTTGAAATACTATCGGTGAAAAATCACAAACTTTTTGGTGTGAGATGAATTTATTCCTTTGCATTGCTAACCTGAAACAGGACTGAGATTAGATGACTTTTGGCATCCTATGTCGCGACCTTTCATAAATAACACTGGCAGGGATTTGCACTCTGCTGTCGGTTTTTTGTTGTGTTGCCTTTAGCCGTCTTGCATGCTTTTATCTCTTTTTAGCTCTCGCCAATGAGTAAAAGCCAGTTTGAGATTTACTCTTGTCTGGTGTCTTGCTTGGTCTCTCTCTAATGTTTATCTTCTTCACTTCCTCCAATAACATCTTCTTCTGTCTTTTAGCAGCCTCTGCCATGTTGTCCATACTGGGAATACCAAGCTTTTTCTTATAGCTGGCTGAAGAGCCATTGTTGGTGTGTGACGAGGTGTCATAAAGCTTTATGCAGTTCTCGTCAGAGGTCTCCTGCCCGCTTCTCCAAAGTTACAAAGGGCTAGAGCAGGCATTGCAGGCCTGGAGTGGCACTGACGGAAACGCCATTCTCCCTGTTATAATTCAGTGTACCATCAAAATGATTTTGAAGCTGTTATTTTAAGATAAATTTGTTACATAATGCTGCTTTAATACTGGCAGGATTTTTGATAAGGTGCTTTAAGCTATCAGAATATCCTACCTAGAGGTTTTATGTATGGAGTAAATATGTTATACGGTAGGACATTTTGACAAGGTTTGACAAAGTTTGTCACATTACTGCAGTAAAAACAGGCATGGCTGATGTGAATGTTTTCAGTCTTATTTAGGCTAAGAGGAGAAGTGATGGGGATATTTTTATTATTATTTACACATTGTATTTCACGTGACAATTATCAGCTTACCGTTAATGCAGACTATCTCCGTCATGGGGTACTCTGCTCGACTGTACTTGGGTCAGCTGATTGCTGTGATTTGTGGCGTTTCAAACGTGTGTTGCCAACAGGGAAGTTGCGAAGTGTCGTCCTCTGGACAATCTACGCAATGACAGCACTCATAATATGGTTGAAGAATCTGTCTTCCATCTCTGTTTCTTTTTTAATTGTCATTTAGCAGCCATTATAAGCACCAATACCGATGTATCTGCAATTAGCTCATATCAGCCGATAATATCAGCACGGTAAATTATCGGTCGCGCTCTAGTTTGAGGGAAGTGTGATGAATCTGTTGTGCAGTTTGCATTGGGACAGCACAATGTGTCCTTTACCTGTTAGCAGCTTTAGCCTACTCTAGTGCAAAGCTAAAGAACCAGACTTGAGACAAAAATGTCTTAGATTGAATGATTGACTAAATTTAGGGTAAATGTGATTATTTTTTGTTTATCTGGTCTTTTAAGGCAGCATGAAGTTCCTGTAATTTGTCCAGCCAAAGGTGCTCTTTGTAGTTTCTGTAGAAATACCCATAGGCCAGCATTAGATGGCGCCATAAGCTTTGAGAGATGATTGTCCATTATGTAAATAAGGCTATCTCTGCGCGCTGTGTGTCTCGGTCCGCAGTGGTGTGTGACATGAGTCCATTGTGCTAGTGAGACAAGTAGAGGTGCCTTCTCTTCTCACCAGTACTGTCACCCCCCATCCGCCCCCCCACACCGTCTCTCGGTCACTATCACTACCTACCTCAGAAAAGACGTGTCAGTGAACATTGGGTTATAATGCTGAATCTTTTTTGAGAGAGAGAGAGAAAGAGAGACATAGAGAGATAGTATATGTGTGTTCAGTCTTCTGTCTCTGTCTTCAGATGAATGTAGAATCATATGCATACGACGTATCTCACTATTCACTGGTGCTACAAACCGAGTGTGTGTTTGCGGGTGCCGGTGTGTGTGTGTGTGTCCTGTCTCTTGTGCATGTGCCCTCTGTCTTATGACTCCGTGCTGAATGCACTATGAATACTGATGGCTTCTTAAGGCCTAAGGACCACCCTCACCATCAATCATGAGCAGTAGCTCTTCTCCCCTGTCTGCTAGCGAAGATTTCTCCTGATCTAAAAGTGTCTGGACTCCATCCATGAAGTGCAAATGGATTGTAGATTTCCTGGAACGACTCTTCCATAGTCTGTCATATCACGTTAAGCTATTTTAGCCTAAATGGCACCTCACGTAGCCTACATATGTTTAGCATTTAGAGTGGTTTGTTCAGTGTAAGCAGAGAACCAGGGCAAGGTCTTTAAGAGGCACTGGAAGGTTTTGCATTTAGTGAAGCTCTTTTAGCCTTTCTCTCCTCTTACAACCAGCCTGCACATGCAAAAGTGTGTGTTTCTGGCTCATAACTGCGAGCGGCAGTACGATCGAGGTCCGTGTCGAATTAGAATTGTATATGCTATTAGTTTTCAAGCATGTTTTGGAGAAGCAGCTGTGTTCCATATGAATTAGCAACTGTCTCTTCTGTCTTTGTTGATTTTGAGGCTAATCTCTCTGTTTGTATGTATAATATTTGACATTGCTGAAGTGAAATTAAAGGAGAATTTCAATGATTGTTTAAAATTTCTGCATAATTCCACACTTGAAACTTTTGAAGTCATAGTGGTGTCATGTGAAAAGGGAGGCTTATTGTAGAGAACTTACAACTTGGTGGTAGTGATAGTAACCAGGGGCTGTGATGTATTAATTAGTTACCAGAGATCATTATGGTGGCAAACAGGCCTGGTTATGTGTTTAACACATAGTTTAACATAAGAGGTTTATGAGAAACATTTATAGTATCTGAAGGCAGAAGACACTAACATAGCTAGCTGCCTTCTTCAGTCATTTACAGTCAGTTCTCGAGATGCGACACAGCCCAGGTAAAATGATGCAGTAAACAAAAGCATGCAAGACATACTGTTGATTCAAAGACAGGAGTTCGTGAAGACATAAATAAGAACAAATTCACGTTCAGTGGCACAATATTTTTAGGCTGGCCAATGAAAATATCATGACTACACATCAGCAAGAACACAGGCCTCAGATAGACCTAACCAACAAAGAAGCACCTTCATAAAGCATATGCCTGTGTGCTAGGAAAACACACCACCAGCCAACTTAAAAACCTATAGCGTCAAGCATCCTAAGCTAAGCTACTTTAAGGAGAATTCATTTGTGTTTGGCTTTGTAAATAGGGATAAACCATCCTCTGTCAGGGTTTTAGGACTCACAGCTCCCAAAGGTGCGTCTTTTACCTTTTTTTCTGAAGCTTTAAATTCTATAAGCTGGCATGCTAAGCAGTGATTGGAGGGCAAGGATTGCAAAGATGGGCATGATTTTGATTGGCCACAAGACAATGACAACAATCACCGAAAAGCAAATCAAATAATACCCCAAAAATACAGCTTAAAAATGTTTTTCCCCGTTTGATTGGGTAAGTTTGAGGTCAATCAGTAGTCGACATTCTATGACGCATGGAACGATAAAATAACATTATTAACAGTAACAGAGATATATACAGAGGTATTTTGCTTGTTTTTGGAATACCGTTCATTTACTGTTTCCGTTTTTGTTCCTCGAACCAGGTCGAAGCCCTGCTCTGAGTTTTTATAAGGGATGAAATAGTTCTCTTTGGGGAGTATTTTGCCTTACAATCTCGTGTATCACTCCATGATGAATGTGTTTTCTCAAAACTGGCCTAAATAATGTTTCAGGCTTCAGACAATTTCATGTAAAAGTTTTCTGTGAGGGAGCTTTTAAAAACATTAAACCCCTCAGACGTCTGGTTCCTGTCACCACCACTGTGAACAATTCTGACTCTGTAAGTCTCTCTAGAATAAAACATTTCACATCACATCACTCTGAATGACTTTGTTTACATCTTAATCATTGAATTAAGCAGAAATTCTGAACAATTGGTAGAATTGCCTATTAAAAGGATACTTCAATGATGAATGCAGATAGAAATATTGATGAATGACTTCTTGATCTCATTTAACTCATTTAATTAACACTAATTGGCTTTAGTGAACTTTGATTCATTGTTGCACACGTTGTCATTCCTTTCCTAAAAGGGTTCGTTTTAGGAAATAACTTGGTGAAAAATTGAACTTCCACAGTGTTCCCCTTGCCTCAGAAATAGTTGATCAGTCAAGAATGTGTGGTGTCCAAAGTTTGTACCTATAGTTTTTGGGCTGGAGCTACAAGGCTAATGTAGAAATATACCCCACTAATTAGCTCTGTAATTAAGTTATCACACACTTACCACAAATCTCAAATAGACTTGCTTTGTTTTCAATAATATTATAGATATTATAGACAGCACAGTTAATATTGTTAAGGCACATGAGTAATTGGAACTGCATAAGCATCCATTCTCAAGTAGAAGCAGCTATCAGATGCTTGCTTAGCTCCATTTGAATGAGCAGATGTGCTTTGGGCCCATTTAAATGAATATGTTGGAGGGGGAAAAATGTCACTCGAGCCTTCCCACCATGCAACTGTTCTGTGTGTACAGTGTGTGGAGACTGGTCACGCTCTAAAGCCTGACAAAAGCCTCCATCTCCCTGCTGTGTTTGCTGTACTCTTCCCTCACACACACCGCCTGTCTGTGACTGCTCGGCTGGCTGCCCCCCTCACTCTCTCTCTCTCTCTCTCCCTCTCTCTTGCTCTCTCTCTCTCCCTCTCTCTTGCTCTCTCTCTCTCCCACTCTCTCTCATATGACAAATGAGTGTGTAAAGCATTTCCTCCTGGGTGGTGGGCTGCGTTTCGAGGCTGCTGCAAACGATCCCATGAGTGTGAGCCTAATGGGGCTGGAGTTGTGCTACAGTGGGGCTTGAAGAGCGAGGCTTTGGCACACCGAGGAGAGAACGCCAGTGCTTGCTGTGTAATAGAGACAGAGTTCAGCCTCCAGCTGTGTATTAAAGTATCACTTTTTATGGCGCTAAGTATCCTGGCAATGGAAAGATCAACAGCTGATTATGTTACAATATCCATGTTTCGTTTTTTATGCAAAGATTGACATCCCTGTAGGTGGTGAGTGTGCTAAGGCTTCATTAGACACCAAAGAAACCTTGTTCTGCTAATGGTGCCTGCGTGTATCTATCTCAATTTCTCTGTGTAATTCTCCTGCCTGCCTGTGGGCTGTGTCTGAGTGCTGATCCTGAAGAGGAAGCGCTGGGGGGAAATAATTGGAGTTTAGCAGCGAAAGGAGGGGAACGCGATTGACCTCTAGTAATGGATTTGAGTGAATAATTATTCCTAGCTACAGCTTTGGACGATGCTATCAGAGAGAGATGAATTCCGCTGAATGACTCATTGGCATAAGGGAG